TCAGAAATTTAACAATCTGATGTCAACGTCTTTCAAGTACCTGGGGCGCCTGGCTCTCTTCTTCCAACAGGTTGGAAGATTCATGTCATTACTAGGGGTGCAGGAAAAGTTGCACCGCGCAAATCCCACCTTGTATACCCTGTTTCCTCGGGTAGTCTGCTGTTCAGAAAACCTTTAGTTGCGCTTAAGTTCCCACCACACAGGTTCAGAGAAGAGAAACATCATTCACGGTAGGGCTCAAGGTTTAATTAGCATCGTACGAAGCTCTAAGCGGGAAATCAGGATTACGAAATTTACTTCAAGCCGGCCAAACGAGACTTTATGGACCTTCTGGGCATGTTGAGGGGGACGTTCCAAGTTGAGGCTAGCGAATCTCATGTATGTGGTTTTGGAAGTCAACATCCAGTGCCTAGGGTTGAGCTTCGTTCCCGATATGCCCGAAAATAGTTGCAGGGGGGAACCCAGGGACTCCAAAAGTGGATCCATGATCTTGAAAGTTTAAGAACACTAGAAACCCCCAAATCACAATGCGGCACCGCCTGGCCAGTTTGCTAAAAAATCCATCAAGTATACATAGTAAAATGGTCGCTCGAAAATGGAGCTTACCGCGCTTTGCTAAGCAGTCACGCCGACATATTGTTAAGCCGTCGCCGCTAGACCGTTGACCGTACTTACAAATATTGGAGCTTCGCACAGTCACTACAAGCATGTAGGAAAACTAACCAGTGTCTTCCAATAGACTTAGGCCCCTAACCCTGCAACCATAACCCACTGTAACTATTGCGTCGGCTTTGCGGGGGCAGAAGACAAGCCAAGCTTTCAACAGCTGCTCAGCAAACTATAACACAACATCTGGTGTGTTACGACAATTACGGCTCCAATTTGGGGCACCCTATCAATATTGGGGCCATATCATATCAGGGACCAAAGCAAGACCAGGAGCTGGACAATCTACCATGTAGGGGAGTCTTGCAAGTTGACCTACTTCAGGTTGACAGAAGGACGGCGACAACGACAAAACACATGCCGGTAGAAATACGGCGCAGCAACTTCCTGACCAAAACTTGGATATGTTGAGGGTTTAGGAATTAGGGGTTGTGATTATTCTGAGGTAGACAGCTCAATCGCACAATACGTTCTTGCCATGGCTCTCTGATTCTGTCTGCCTGAGGATGGTGCTCGAATTGTTTGACGAAGGTTTGCATACTTCCATGCGGGGTTGTCAGTGCTTGGGTTCAGGTTTTAAGGTCTATATTTATATATAGGGATATTGTAGGGATATCTCTCTCTCTATATATCTATATATAAATAGACGGATAGGTTTGAGGGTTTCAGGCCTATAGAGACTGAAACTAGGGCTCCAAATAATGCCAAGTAGCTACTTCTTCTTTGCTTTGGTCCAGTATCGGTGGGGCTTGGGTCATGGACTGAACCCCAAAACCATTTAGCCCATCACCCTGTTTTGCGTCAATTGCTCGGAGATTGTGACCAAACCCTAGACCCTAAACCCTAAAATCTCTGTAGAGTTCAGGGTTCAGTGTTCAGGGTTGAGGGTTTCGGGTTGAGGGTTTAGGAGTTCCAGTCATCCAAGCAACTACCCCAGACTCTCTCATACAGGGAGGCCCACACCTAATCAGGTATTATTTCTTGGATTGCAAGAAAGTTGTACTGGAGACGAGCATGGCTATAAGCAAGAAGATATATTGTACCTTAAACCATACTTGGAGGTCCATTGTACTTATAACCTACTTAGTAACTGTAGTTATAACCTAAATATAAGTCCCATAATCATAGTTACCCTAGATATAATTGGGTTATAACTACAGTTACTAAGTAGGTTATAAGTACAATGGACCTCCAAGTAGCCCTACTCCCTTATCCCTAAATGGGAATTAGAAGTCGACATGGACCTGTCTCAAGCAACAAGCACAAGGACAAAGATCTTTAAGTGATAAACACCTGAACCCTAAACCACGCTCTTTAGTCTTTAGGGTTTAGGGTTATTGATAAACACCAGAACCCTAAACCTATGCAAGATTCTCCCTGGAGAGGTCGCTACAACTGTCCGGAGAAAATCAAAAAAGGTCAGGATAGTCGAGCTCAGGGTGGGGACCCTAAACCAGCTCAGGGTTTAGGGTTTAGGGTCAAAGAATAACCCTAAACCTTAAACCCCATTCATTGCTCAGATTTCCTCGTTCCGTCACCTAAACCCATAACCGACTTCATGACTCCTCAGGAAGCCAGAAGCGATTCTCGAAACTACGGAGCCTCCCCCAAGGATTCCGAAGTGGTTATCTATCGAAACTCCTGTGTGTAGGGTTTAGGTTAAACGGTTCCTCAACCCTAAAGCCTAAACCCCTAAACCGCATGTCAGGTGCAGTTGCAACCTTCAAAAGCTCGAAGGCTGGAGCGACAAGGTAGGACCCCCTAGTTACATAAGTAGACTTATAAACCTCATGACTACCTTCCATGAACATGGAACTTTAAACTTATAACCATACTCATCTGGCTCACACCTCGCTTTCAACCCAATAATTATGGGTTGAACTAGTACCCCCCCTCTATACAACCCCCTTAGGTTCCCCCCTTAATTAAGGTTATTTAGGGATAGTTAGGCTTGATTAAGGTTAATTAAGGGGGAACCTAGGGGGTAGTATAGAGGGGTTTACTAGTTGAACCCATGAATAAACAATAACTGACTACGGGGGACCTCCCTGTATCCCAGAATCTGGGCTAGCTGATTGGATGACCGGATGCCTCCTAAACCCTTCACCGTGGGTTTCGGGTTCAGGGTTGAACCGTGAACCCTAAGCCACAAACCCTAAACCCTAAACCCTAAACCCCTATACCCTAAACCCTAAACCCCTAAACCCCTAAACCCTAAACTGTAAACCTTACAACCCTGAACTCTTGAGAGATTTTGGTCACAGGCCGGCCCCTTATCTTGATTCAGAATACCTGGAAACAGGGCTAGCTAGCAGCAGGGCCTTAAGTAGGATAGCAACCGCCTTTTGAGAACTTTAACATTGCTTGGAATTATATGCGCGCTTCCCTAACTGACCCCATATTTGAATTTTCGGAGAAACCTCCAAAAGACCTAGGCAAGCCTGGTGTTTCCATCCCTAGCATCCACTCAAAGTTCTAAAGCTTGCTGGCAGACATCAGGACTTAGCGCCTTTAGCAACCCCAACACCTAAATTAGGGTCCTCTCATGGTCATATGATAGGTATGGTCTTATGATAGGTATAGGGTCCTCTGTATCGTGGCTGGGCTATCTGAAATCATCTCCCTCACCTCTAAACCCTTTTTATTCACAGATTCGGGATAAGACCCTTTAAACCCTGAGCCCAAATTTGTACATCAAAAGCCTTAAATCCTTGGTCGCTCCTGTCTCAGCTACGCCCTGAACGGGAACAGATCAGGGTGTCAGGACGACCCATAAATCTGACAGAAACCTAGGGTTTAGGGTTTAGAGCTCATACTGTTGATGGAGAAAAAATCTTGCACCACCTAGGGGCCCTAAACTACTGCAATTCCTAAGACTTTAGGGACTTAAGGTGGTACAAGATTTCCTCCATCAACAGTACTTGGAGGTCCATTGTAATTATAACCTACTTAGTAACTGTAGTTATAACCCAATTATATCTAGGGTAACTATAGTTATGGGACTCATATTTAGGTTGTAACTACAGTTACTAAGTAGGTTATAAGTACAATGGACCTCCAAGTAGGGCTCAAGGCTCATGGGGACGGGAGCTTTCTATCCTCGCTCGTCGTCCTGCAAGTGCTTTTGTTGGTCACACCACGGCGCCCTAAACTTCCATAATGTAACAGTCGCTACTGGCATAGCCCTGGGGATCCAAATAGCCCAACGTAGGTAATATTTACAGACTTTGGGGCCCAATGTAGGTATTATTTGTATACTTGGATCCCTAGGGTAGGGCTTTCCGGCATCGCATCTTATAACCTAAGGGTCCAAGTACCCAAATACTGGGTTGAGGCACTAAAACCATTCAGATTATAGCATAGGGAGACCAGAACCCCAATATTCGGGTACTTGGACCGTCTAGGTTATCTGTACTAAGCCCTCAAGCCTAAACCCTAAGAGGAGATGGCCTTCCAGATGTTTCAAGCTCCAGGAACGAAGCTAGCAGGATTTTGTCGAAATAGAGCTACTGTTGGGATTCATGCCCTCATTCCCGATGAAACATGGGTAGGCGAATGGGGGTGGAATCTGAATTCGATTCTGCGGCGGCCGTTTTGTCGATGGAAGCTGTTCAAAAAATGCCGCAGGGGGAGGGGGTGTATTTTTAGGGACCCTGTGGATATTCTGAGACTATGAGGAGAAGGCAGCCTAAGCCCGCAACCCCTAAGCCCTAAACCGTCAACCCTCAAAACCGACCCCACAAAACCAAAACCCTGAGGTCCCTTAAGGATTTTAAGGGTTTAGGGTTTAGGCTGGGTCATCTTAAAAAGCGCTCATATGACGGGTTCCCCACCTTCAAAATGGTTTGTGGCTTGGGGCTTAGGGATTCATATCATGCCCAAGTTTTGTGGCTCCTTACAGACGGGATCTTACCAGTAAACCCTAAACCGAATAGTGGGCCTGTTGTTTTGCAAAGCTGACGAATTGAATCTTTACCCTGTCCGAGACTCCGGCGCAAGATGCAACTTTAGCTCCTTCTTCGATTGTCAGAGGGATGCGGCCAAAAGTATGGGGCCCTTTCGGTTAGGGGCGGTATTGTCCATGGATTTCTAAAAACAACCTATGACTCTTTTGATAAGCCCCCCATATCCCAGTCTCTTACCTTTGGTTGGCTGGGAATGAAGGAATGGAGAAGAAAATGGAAACTACTGTGATGGGTTATACAGGGACCACTATAAGGATCCATTCCTTCCTAAAACCTAAACCCTGAATCCTAAACCCATCATGGAGTACTATATTGATCCATTCCTTTATTCCTATCTAAGCAAAGGTAAGGTCTAGGATCATTGCCGACCTGGGCCCTCACGAAGTCCATCTCGGCGTGCGAGATCATGAAGTTGTAGCCGACCTTCAACTTGCGGGAGAATAGTCAAAGGGCTCAAAAGGTGCGATGAAGGAACGTGGGGTATAGAAAAATAAAATCCACCTTAATATAGTCCTCATCCCACCTTAAGAGCCCCCTGAAATACGTAGGTTACGGATTACGGGGTAGGTTACGGTATCAGCTTGCAATGGGCAGCCCTGTTCTCTCAGGATGCTTCCTATTAAGGTTTAGGGTTTAGAGTTGTTGGTCAGAGTTTAGGGTTTAGGATACACTTTAGGAAGACCCCCCCACCCTGTCATAATGGTATAATAGGAATATAAGAGGGCCCTGATATAATCCTTATTATCCCCTATAGTCAGTATTACTGGGTGGTGGGGGGGGTCCACCTAAGATATACTCCTCATGTATACAAACCAAGCAGATCATTGTTCGGAGTGGGTCCCTTCCTCCTCTCTGATGCCATCCACGTGGATGGTTAGAGGACTTAGTGAGCCGTTCAACAGTAGAGATAACTTAGGAGGACCCCCACCCTGTAATAGTGGTATAATAGAAATATAAGAGGACCCTATTATAATCCTTATTATCCTTTATAATCACTATTACAGGGTGGGGGGTCCACCTAAGAGATAACTGAGGCTATTACATGGTCAATTTCAACAACCCTGCAATAGTAGGAATAACTGGGGTTATTATGTGCTTGACACTGATAGGTTTCTACTGTAAGTACCAAGCCCTCAACCCTGAACCCCAAAACACAAAGCCTTAACAACTATACCTATGTACATATGGATGTGTATATATATATATACACACATACCTACATACTCACATAAATGCCAACAATCCTCCATGTCTCCGCCAAAACCAAGCCACTCCTAATACCCCACCCCCTGAATCTTAGCAGGTTGCTAACCCTATACCCTAAAACCTTGCATGACCCCAATATGCCCTAAGCCCTATACCCCAAATTCTGAACCTTAGCCAGAAATCCTGTACCCACAAAACAACATCGAAAACACGATGCCCCAAACCTTTTACCCTAAAACCCCAAACCTCAAGCCCTCCTAAACCCAAAAACCTACATATATATATATACATACATGCTAAACCCTAGACATCATGCCCCAAGCCCTAAACCCTAAACCCTAAACAAAACCTTAAACCCTGGGCCCTAAGCCCGAAACCCTAAACCCTGTGGGCATCGGCCGGCCTCAACACCGACCCAGGAGGCAACGGAGAGCTCAATTCGGGTGTTCGTGAGGAAGCCTTGACGGCAAGGGGCTTAGGGTCTAGGGGTTTAGGGGTTTAGGGTTTAGGGATTAGGGGTTTGGGCCTCCAATGTAGTTCCTTTTTGGGTTTGGTATGTTTTTTTGGTTAGGGCTCTTATTAGGACTACTGAAAAGGTACTACATTGGAGGGTCTAGGTAGGGTCTAGGCTTTAGGGATTAGGGGTTTGGGGTTGAGGGTTTATGGGTTTAGGGGTCTGGGGTTTAGGGTATAGGGTTTAGAGATTTAGAGGTTTAGGGTATAGGGTTTATGTGGCTAATAGTGTTGATGAGGGTTTAGCATGTAGGGGTGAGGTAGGGTTTAGATCTTTAGTGGTTAGCGCGTAAAGGTTTAAGGCTTGTAGCCGTATTTATGGGTTTGTTAGGGGCTTAGGATTTAGGGTTTGTGGGGTCGGTATGTCTCATGGTTTTGGAGTTGTTAGGTATAGGGTTTTAGGGCTTTACGGTAAAGGGATGGTGGTTAGGGACTATATAGGGTGTGGGGATTAGAGGTTCTAGGGTGTTATTGTGTACAGTGCTGAGGCTAGAGCGCTTAGGGCTTAGGGTGCAATTCAACGCGGGGTTTTAGGCTGTAGAGCAGGGAAGCCAAATGTGGCAAGCCAACTTCTGGTTCCTTACTGGGCTACTATGCTATAAGAGAAAGTGAAATCTGCTCATTGTATATATATATATATGTATATGTATATATATACCTCCAAAGCTATAGACGGCTACCCCTGAGACTTTTAAGGGGAAGGTTTGGGAGTTGCGGGCTAAGATTTGGGATTGGGATTTCACTCCGAACTGCCTACAGCCTTAGTGCAAAGCGGAGCTTCCCCAAAAGTAGCCTATTTTGGGGTTCTTCTAATTCTACAAAATATTCCTAAACTTATGCTGTGCATAGCGCTCTAGACCTCGTCTATAGTTCACTACAGCCCACTGGGGAGTGAGAGATATCAGGGGTGTTTCCAGATCGGGCCCTAAACCCTGAAGCTTAAACTTAAAGCCTAAGCCCCCAAACCCTAGACCCTACAACCTAAACCCTGAACCCTTTACCTAAAACCCTTCACCTCAAACCCGAAAGCCTTGGGCCAGTGCATCAGAGTCCTGGTGGCCTGTAGAGCGTCGGATCAAAAGAGTTGTCAAGAATCGATCAATTTCGGATGGGAGCTTCACGGCAGAAATGGATCAAATGTATCAGCGGAAGGGTAACTAAAATCATTAGCAGGAATTGTAGTTGTAGTAGTAGTAGTAGTAGTGCTACTACGACTACTACTACAGAGTACAGAGTAAGGCCTAAGTTCAAGAGTAACGTAATAAATCTCAGTTGTAAAGGTCATTAAGACATGCGATGCAGTAGTAGCGTCATTGCTACAACGTTGTGGTCTTCAGACCTCCCTGCAAGAGGAGAATACCAATGCATACCGAAACATAATTACGGTGACAGTTTACTGCCAACACACGACCCTGAACCAGCCTTAAACATTAGCTTTAAGCTGACTACCATGCCTACAGAAGCGGCTGGTTGAGCTATAGCAGTCCCCATCATGGTTGCCAACGAGGAGACAGACGTAGGATGCATGCATCAGGCTCGCTAGACTGACACTCCAGGACTACCTTAACAAATAGCTGCATCAGCTGTGCAAGGTTCTGGCCCCAAACAAGTACGAGCGAGGACCCCGTTTCATCAATGGATTCAAGGGATGTCTTCACGTCTCCTTGCGCTGCGGTTCCCCTAGGCACCAGGACTCAAGAGCACGCCTCGCAAAATGTCATTCAAGATTCAGGAACACCTTTGGCACCAAAATCCAACTTACTGGCGTCTCAGACAGAGCTTGAATGTAGGGATACATAAGCCCTAAGCCCTAAACAATATTCTAGGGATCCACTTCCCAACTTCCCTGCATGAATTTCCGAAAACAATGAATGAACCAATGAACCACTATGACACTATGTAGTCTCAGTTAGAATTTCGTGTTTCATGTTACTTTTCCGAATGCTTGCTCGTCCATGTGTTTTTGGCATCCAATGCGCCACCTCAGCAGCCCCAAAATCCTAAACCCTAAACCCGAAACTCTAAACCCTAAACTCTAAACCCTAAATCCTAACCCTGAACTCTCAGCCATTTGGTAGTTTCCCAAAATAGGGGGACCCCAAGATAGACCGCAATATACTATAGTCCTTATAGAAAATCCCCAAAAGGGTACCCCTTACTTTAGGAAACCCTAAGCCCTAAACCTGAAACATCCCTATATAACCCCGAATTTCCCACTGTTAGGAAAGGGTCCCCCTTACTTTAGCAAGCCCTGATATCTAGGAGCCCTATGAACTTTCATGGTCATGGCAGTCTCCTCAGTTAGGGTTCAGGGCTTAGGGTCTAGGGCTTACAGTAGGGCTTTGGGTCTAGACCCTAAATCCTAAACCTTAATCCTGAATCCTAAACTCTAAACCCTAAATCCTAAACCCTAAATCCTCAACTCTAAACCCAAGCTCGGGCCTGATAAAATCCTAACCCTCAGACCAAACCCTAACCCTGAAACCCCCAGAACCCGGTTTAGGGTTTAGGGTTTAGGGACTAGGGACCCTAGACCACACAACCCCTACACCCTGACCTCCTAAACCCTCAAGGGCTACAGCTTGGGTATTGCCCCCACCCTGTCACATTCTACGATGGGGGTAATATTCATAAAAAAAGTTCATAATCATCATCCAACTGGTACTGGGTGGGTGCAGTACCCAAGCTAAAGCCCTAAACCATGCAGACCATAAGCCCATGAACCTGATCAGCCCTACCTGTAAAGCTCAAAGAACCCACGAAAACTTATAAACCCTAAACACCTGCATCCCTAAACCCCTACATCCCCGAACCCTTAACCTGTATTTCCCTAAACCCTGAACTCCTAAACCCCTACATCCTTGACCATAAACCCTAAACCCCTAAACCCTAATCCCTACACCCCAAACCCTAAATCCCTAAACTCTTAATCCCTAAACCCCAAACCCTGAACCCCTAAATCCCTAAATTCCTACACCCTAAACCCTAAGCCCTATATAAATAGTAGTTTCCATTTTCTTTTCCATTATCCCAATATAACCCCATATAACCCCAATACTCTACCTATATAACACCCTAAACCCTAAACCCTAAACTATACCCCTTAAGGAGGACTATATTAGGGTGGTCGACAGCAAGGCGCAAACTCCCTGAAGCTGCTTTTCCAAGGCCTCGCTGTACCTGCGACAGGAACCTCATAGGCTTGCTGTACCTCAGGGCTGGCAAGGTAAGAATGCTCTTGTCGGGTTTAGGGGATTTAGGAATTGAGGGTTTTAGGGGTTTAGGGATTTAGGGTTTAGGGTTTAGGGAATTAGGGTTTAGGGATTTAGGGTTTAGGGTTTTGGAGGTTAGGGTTTTCGGGTTTAGAGTTTCGGGTTTTAGGGATTAGGGGTTTAAGGTTTTAGGGCTTGGAGGGCTAGGGTTTTAGGGTTTAGTTTTTTGTTCAGCGCCTCTTTTAAGCCTCGCGGCGAGATTCAAGGCTGGTGGGTTTAGGGTTCAGAGTTTAAGGACTAGGATTCAGGGTTTGGCGTTTGGGGTTCAGAGTTTAGGGTTGAGGGTTTCGCACCCTAAGCACGAGTACCTTATAGCTTGGGAATGATGGTACTATAGTATGTCAAGGTCATGCAAGATTTTTAAAATCAACAATAACTCCCGGAGAGTCTAAGCTTGCAGGTGTCACCGTTGGACTAAAGGCTCCAAAATGGGCCAAGAAACTTTGAATAGCCCTAAGCCCTACATCCTAAACCCTAAACACATCTCGGAAGATTCAAAGGCCCTCTTCGAACCCTGCATCCTGGCAGCAAATCCTTTAAAGGCATATGAGCTCTAGTCCAAATTCCTAGTATCCCCATCCATAAGCCAGTTAGTATCGGGTTTAGGCCTTTAGGGTTTAGGGTCTAAACTCCTAGTATCCTAACCCCCATAGTACTTCCCTATATAGTCCTCTAAATAACCCCCTTTTAAGGAGCTTAGACTATAGCCTATAGCTCAAAGCACCCTTCTACCAGCCTAACCTGTCTTAGACAGGGTTTTCGCTACCTGCAAGAGGTTCGTGGCCCATATGAACTTTAGCCTGAATTCCCTATATCCCCCTAAATAACCCTAGTCCCCTATACAATCCCATATATAACCCTCCTTAAGGAGTTTGGATTATGGCCCATATGCAGCAACATCCTGATCTAGGCGGTACTTATAAGGCCCCAAGAAAGTTGTTTGTGAATAGTTCTCGATTTAGGGTTTATATGGTTTAGGGTTTTAGAGTTCATGATCATCCCAAGGTACCACATCGTGATTCTGCCTGAAGTCCGCACCGTAAACCTGAAACGTCAACCCCTAAACCCTGGGTCCTGAGCGCATGCCTAGACACTGCAGTGTAGTAACTCTTTTTGGGGGGGTTCTATTAGGAATCCCAACAAAAGAACGAACCAAGCCGAACATGAGCTAATACAAGGGCCTCTACAAATAGCAAGCCAGCTTTTGAGGTCTATTCGAGGCAGCCTACACAATGATTACACATCGAATCTAGGACCACCATGTTGGTAGTTAATCAAACTTCTAAAAGAGCTACTACCAAGATCACCAAAGGAATTAACGGATGCGGGTTGCTTATGAAGGAAATATATCATGATAATCGACTATACTCAACTGCAAGAGGGACCCCTACGTCCTCTGTTGAGGGTGCCATAATAAGGCCAAACCCTAAACCCTTAACCCTAAACCCTAAATCCTAAGCCCTAAACTCTAAGTCCCACAATAAGGCTAATAGCTCACATGACATTTGACCAGGAGGTCCTCAGCTTCAAAGCAGTTCAGCACCGAGCCGGAACACCGAACTCGAGGTGAGGTCCAGAGACTCGGGGAACATGTCCTCGCGAAAGGGATATGTAGGGTTTAGGGTTGAGGGTGTAGGGTTTAGAGTTACTATGAGGAAAACGTAATTGCGTTAAAAGACGGATTATACAGAGGTTATATGGCAAGAGTTGTTCATATAGGGGTGCAACTCTTGAAGCCCAGCTTCTGCTTTTTTCTGAATCAGAGGTAACGCACTGGGAAGGCATAACATCCGTATCATGGTTCAGGGTTTAAGGTTTAGGGTTTAGGTGGACGGAGAACTTTGGCACCAACCGAGATCTTCAATGCAGAAGGGAAAAGGTGGTTCTCAGCAGCATGTCCTGGGCCCGAAGCCCTGAAATTTGCCAGTTTCCTAAGAATCTCCTTCAATATGATTACAGGCCAGAACAAGCCAAATGAACAAGTGTTGTCTTGGAAAACCCACTTTGCCGGAGTCCTTTTCTGTGGAGATCCGCACCTTGCAACCCCCTTAGTATAGACTGGAACAGTAGTACCTAAACCCCAACAGTATGTCAAATA